TTTATAACGGTGTTTTTCGCAGCCCCTGGGTTCGGGTCCAGTCCTGGGCGACATGTTCGGGCCTTGGGACCTTCCAAACCAATTTTTGTGGCCCGAGCAAGTTATTTTGGTGCGTTTGCAGCCCTGGGGGCTGGGGCACAAGCCCTCGAGGATGGCTTCGAGTCTTGGGACCTCCAGCAAAAACTGCTCGGGCCCCGAAGCGGTAATTTTGGTGATTTTCGCAGCCCTGGGGTTTGGGCCCAGCCCTGGACGACGCCTTCGTGTCTGGGCACCTCCAGCAAACAACTTTTCGGGCTCCGAGCACTCTTGGCCCTGGGGGTCGGGGCCCCGCCCTGGAGGACGCTTTCGGTCCTGGGCACCTCTTAAAACTTTTCGGGCCTCGAACCATTTGTATCGGTGCTTTTCGCAGCCCCCGCGTTTCGGCCCAGCCCTGTGCGACTTGTTCGGGCACGGGGACCTCCAAAAACATTTGTTCGGGTCCCGATTGTTGTGCTTTCGCAGCCCCGGGGGACGGGGCCCAGCCCTGGAGGACGCTTTCGGGCGAGGGAACCTCCAGCAAAAACGTATCGGGTCCCCAAAAGTTCGTATCGGTGCTTCTCAGCTCGGGGCCACGTTTTCGAGCCTGGGGACCTCCGAAAACAATTTTTCGGGTCCCGAACAATTTGTTTCGGCGCTTTCGCAGCCCCAGTGGTCGGGGGCCAGGGGGCCCGACCCAAATCAATTGTTCGGGGCTCAACTAATTTTTTCTGGAGTCTCCAGGCCGGAAAACGTTTTCCAGGGCTGGGCCCAACCCTCGAGGCTGCGAGAAACACCATAATAAACTTGTCGGGGCCGGAACAGTGTTATCAGAGATCCCCCAACCCCAAAGCGTCCTCCAGGGCTGGGCCCCGACTCCTGGGGCTGCGAAAAACATTCACATATGCTTCTCGGCACCCGAGCAGTTTTTCGGGGGTAGCCTTAAGTCGGGCCTGTCCCTCTACAGGGGGAATATCAAAAAATAGTAGAAACATAGTCTGGGGATTATTTTTCTAGTATTTGTTGACCATTTTGGAGTATTGTGTGAGTATGTTTCATTCTTCGTCGAAAACCTCCCTGTAGGGGGACACGCCGGACTTGAGGGTAGCCCCAGGCCCGAACATCTCCTCCAGGGCTGGGCCCCGACCCCCGGAGCTGCGAAAAACAGTACACCGGCGAAGAATTCCGATCTTTGGATGGTTTGATGAGATCGATGGTGAGATCGATTGATCGAGATGATTCGGGAGATCGATCATGAGATCGATCATGCATCGTGGCATCGATAAAGAGATCGATGAGGAGATCGACGGGGACCCAGGGAACCCGGGAATCCGGAACCCACCGAAATCGGCCAGGAGCCAATAATCATGAATCCAGGAACCCAGAACTTGGGAACCCGGGAACCCAGCCGGCCACCAAAATCTTCGGGAAACTTTCGCGAACTCTTCAACTTCCGCTAGGACGCTAGGACCCCTTCAGTGCAAGCACTGATTGGGGAACCAACATTTTTTGGCGGCGTTCGGGTCTCACGCCTTCAATTGCATGTTCGGGGGTGTTCGTGTGGTCAACTTACGTGGTTCGTGTTCGGCCAGAGTACAAGATCCCAAACGTAATCACGCTAATCGCTGTGATTGGTATTCGGCCGCGTGCTACGACCAGCTTCGCCTCGTCGAGAGCGTTCTGGGGCTGCCCGAATCGTTCCGAACGGCCGCCGGAGAGCTTAATGACAGCCCCAAAGCCAGGATCAGCTGAGAGGGGGAAGCGCGTCGACCCCCAATCGCCCACTGATCGCCGACAGGGGCCCGATAGCCCAACCCCGCCCAGGAGCGGGCGGTTTCGCTGTCGGGAGCCTGTCGCCGATCTGTCGGCGATGTATGGCCGATGGCATGGCATGGACTCGGAGATACACCGTTGCCCCCCTCCCCCTCCTCCTCCTCCTCCTCCTCCTCCCCCTCGCTCCTCCTCCTCCTCCTTCCTCCTCCTCCTCCTCCTCCTCCCCCTCCTCCTCCCCCTCCTCCCCCTCTCCTCCTTCTCCTCCTCCTCCTCCTCCTCCTCCTCCTCCTCCTCCTCCTCATTCTTCTGCCCATCAGGGAGGTGAGCAGGTTGAGTGGGGGGGCCTCTTGGGGCCATCCTGGGCACCTCTGGGGGCCATCACTGGGCATGCACGGGCACGTGCGGGGGATGGGGGAAGGGGAGGGTGGGAGCACGAGGAGGAGGGCGTGCAGGTCTCGAGCGCGCGAGGCCACAGGACATGGTGGGCACTGGACGGGGGGCGCTCTGCGCACGGCGGAGGCGGACGACGAGGGCCATCGGGCGGACCAGAGAGGGGGGTGGTGGTGCGAGGCTCGGGCAGGCGCCACGGGACAGGGCGAGTCCTGCACGGTAGTCTTGTGTCGTGAGGAGGAGGAGGAGGAGGAGGAGGAGGAGGAGGAGGAGGAGGAGGAGGAGGAGGTACTGAAGGATAGCGAGGAGGACATGGGGGGACGGACGAGCAGCAGCAGTCCCCAAGCTCGCGGGCTCCTCTCCTTCCTCCTCCCCCAACCTCCCTGCTCCTCTTCCTTCTCCTCGATCCTGGATCCTCGATCCTGGATCCTGGATCCTGGTTCCTCGATCCTCGATCCTCCCCCTCGATCCTCGATGCTCCTTCCCGATGCCCGACGCCAGCGGCTTGTCGTCCTCGCTCTCGGCGGCCGCCGCGCCAGGCCAAGGCCAGGCGGGCCGCCGAGGGCCCGGATCAGAAGGCCGCCCGGCGCCCCCGCCGGGCGGGGCAGCGGCTCCGCCCGCCGCGGTGTTCCACCGTTCTCCTCCTCCTCCTGCTCCTCCTGCTCCTCCTCCTCCTCTTCCTCCTCCTCCTCCTGCTCATCCTCCTCCTCCTCCTGCTCCTCCTCCTCTCCTCCTCCTGCTCCGCCTCCTCCTCCTGCTGCTCCTCCTCCTCCTCCCCTCCTCCTCCTGCTCCTCCCCCTCCTCCCCCTCCTGCTGCTCCTCCTCCTGCTCCTGCTCCTCCTCCTCCTCCTCCTCCTCCTGCTCCTCCTCCTCCTCCTCCTCCTCCTCCTCCTCCACCGTGTCCCTCGGTACTTCGTCGAGAAGGGGAGGTCCGGAGGGAAACCGGTCCCGAGGCGGTTACACCGTTCTCGGGCTCTCGGGGCCCTCCCCTGGCCCCAGGATCAGAGGCGACGACAGGGGCGAATAGCCCAGGGGGAAGCAATACATGTATCCAGGGGCGCCGATGATCTATGTCTTCGGCGAGGCTCCGGCGAATAAGTGTAATGCCCGCTTCTGGGCGATTCGCCCTTCTCGTCGCTGCCGGCAGGGCCGTCAGAGAACGGCTCTGGACGAAGAGCTCGTCCTGGGGGAAGGCCCGAGGGTCCAGGACCCGTTTCCCTCGGAGGTGGACAGACCTCATACCCTGACACGTCGATTGAGGAATTGGCCGTTTTCGGTTCGCGAGAGGGCGTCGCGGCCGTCATTTTTGCGGGTCCAGGTCCGTCGGTCTCGGTCCCAGGTCGTTTTCACTAAGGGGAGTGGTTTACTAAAGGGAGGTTTGTCCACCGGGAGGGTCGGGAATGTTGAAAAAACAAATATAAACCTGTACCCCCCCCCCCAACCTGAAATTCGCGTCTTCGGGTTGGGTTGGGGTGGTCTGGTAGGTAGTCAGTGGGGGAGCCGGGTCCGGAGGGAAACCGGTCCCGAGGCGTTTCGCCGTCCTCGGGGAGTCTCGGGGCCCTCCTCTGGCTTCAGGGCCGTCAGAGAACGACTCCGGACGAGGATCTCGTCCCGGGGGAAGGCCCGAGGGTCCAGGACCTGTTTCCCTCGGGACCTGTGTCGTCCACGCTGATCCGCGCCGAGTCTGGTGGTCGGGGGCCTGTTATCAGAAGGGAGCCCTGTGGTAATGCGGCGTTGGCGCGCCGGCGATGCCGGCGAAGGCGTTCAAGGTTGAATTCTGCGACGCGGAAGAACCGAGGGACACGGTGATGCCAACGACTGGGGCCGCGCAAGGCCGTTCGAATGATTTCGACATGCGCGCGCGCGAAGCCTGTTTGGTAGCATTTTCGGAAAATGATGACAACCCATGGGTTTGTTTCGAACTCGCAAGAGCGCGCGCAAGTTTTCTTTGAAAATCCGTGTTGCGAGACCCCGTGTTTTTTATGTGTTGGATAATCATATTTAAACATCCGTATATAAGACCGATGTTGTTTGAAGAATTTCAGCATGCGCGCGCGACGACGCTCGCGTGTGCACTTAGTTTTGTTTCTGATTCTTTTTTTGGTACAAGAGGCGCATGACGGGGGGGTCGATACCGGCCTGCCCGGGATGACATGAGCTCATTTTGAGAATGGACGACGGGACGGGGCGGTGACGGCAACAACATAACCGTCAGATTGGCGGCCAGGCCCAGACGACCGACGGCGACGGGGCGGCGACGGGGCGGCGACGGCGACCACACAGCCGCCATACAAGCGGTCAGGCCGAGACGACGGGTGGCGATGAGGCGGCGACGGGGCGGCGACGGCGACGATTCCGTAGCCGCTGGACTGGCGGTCACGCCCAGCACCAGTTCTTTTGACAACAAGTGAGAACTCCTAATTACGTGCAAGCGCTGTTTGGGGAATTTTGAACTTGTAGTGCTTTGGATGGTTGGACGCAGCCTCGCTTCCGGACGTGGATTTTTAGGGAAGCCTGTGGGGGTCGTACTCGTTCTGGTTTACAGAGCTTCCGAGAGTTTCGTTGAGCCTCCAAGGGCCTCCTGGGAGCCTTCCAGGGAGTTTACGGATTCCCAGGAGCCTTGCAGGAGTCTCCTGGCGGGCATCTGCCGCAGCAGGACCCCCGGACCCCCAGGGACCTCTGGCGCCGCAGGAGTGCGCGGGGTCGTGTGTAACTGCATGACGTGGCTCATTTGGTCAGCATGCGCTCGTTGCGACCAGTTTGAGGAGGGAATTCATCCATAACCACGGCCTGGGGGAGCGTTACTCGGGGACCTTGACAGGCGCTGGATCTGGATATCACACATCATCACTCCATGGGGGGGCAACTGTATCCATATCCACCGTCTGCCGAGGCCCCCCGAAGATCGACCCGACAGGAGGTGGTCATGTACAAATCCCCGCCTCGCAACCAGGGCCGCGCCCTTGCCGCAAATGAGCTGCGCCCCATGCATGACTTCTGTTTCTGCGTGTTGCTCAGGCCTTACGGCCGGTGCCGCCGACCCTGGACGACGACCCCCACGATGGAAGAGGCATTCGGGAAGGTCGGGATGCAACCAGGGTCGCGCTTCTGCTGCATAAAAGCCTCTCTCCTTGGGTGACCTCCCCTTCTGTGGCATTCGGCTGGCCCACGCGGGGATAAACTCCTCGTGGTGGTGCTCGGGGGAGGTCCCTGAGTCGCCCCGGCCAGACGCGGCACGGAAGCCTGGCAGGGTAGCGTTTGGGAAGAATTCTCCTCCTCCTCGCCCTCTTACTCCCCCTCCCCCTCCCTGTCTCCTCCTCCCCCATTCCTGTCCCCTCCCCCTCCCTCTCCTCCTCCTCCTCCTCCTCCTCCTCCTCCTCCTCCTCGTCCTCCTCCTCCCCCTCCTCCTCCTCCTCCTCCTCCTCCTCCTCCTCTCCCTCGAGGTACCGAGAATATGTGGTTCGGCTCGCGCCGTTTCAAACTCGGCGGCGCGCCGAGGAGGGGATCGAGAGGGGGCAGGCCTTTTCAGAAGGCGGCTGGGGTCCTCAGTGGCGTTCCCTCTGAGCCTGCTGAGCGGGCCCGCCCCCCTCTGCCTTCTCCCCTGGGCGCTCCGCCATGGCTCCCGACTGAGCTTGCCCTGGGCCCCCTTGGCCCACAGTGGCATTTGTCGCCCTCGCGGGCACGGCCAGAATAGGGCAGCGCCTTGTGGCCAGCCTGCCAGGTGCTGCCGTGGCCCGTGAGCGTGAAAAGAACGGGTGCCTTGGAAAGATGCCTGGGCCCGGTTCTGAAACCGATCTTCACCGACACCGTGATGGGTGCTCCCCAGCGGGTGCTCTGGAAACCCGCCTAGGGTTGCCGCTCCAGGGCCTCTGTCGGGCACTGTGGCGTTGCCCACATCGGGGAGGGAGGGGTCCGCCGGGTGGATGGCCCAAGCGCACGTTGGTGGAGTCCCCGTCAGGGGGCCATTTAGTTCTGGCAGTGAGGAAACACAGCAGTCAGAGTGACGGGGCCGAGCGGTCATTCATTGTCCCTGGGTGGGTGCGTGGCTGAAGTGCGATTCCGTGGCCCGGATTCTTCTTGTTGTTGTTTGTTGCTGTGTGCTGTCGTCGTCCTGCCGCGTGGCCCACCAGGGACCCACCCGCGACCCACCCCTCGACCAACCCCGCTACCTACCCGCGACCCACCCCGCGCCCACCCCTTCACTCTTGTCTGCAGATCACTTCCCCTGGCGATCGCTCGCGCGCGAACGAGGAGGTCCGTGGGCTCCTGCTCGAGAGCGCCGCGCCCGCCGCCGACCGCCCCGCGCTGCTCCTGGCTCCCCGGCGCCTCGCCGTCCCGCAGCGCCCATGGCGCCCGCCAGCTTCGTCGGCCGCGCCGTGCAGGACTTCCCGCTCGAGGTCGCGGGCGCCACGGGTGGCGCCGAGCGGACGACGCTGCGCGGACTGCTGTCGGCCGCAGGGCTCCCGGTCGTGGTGGACTTCTTCGCCCCGTGGTGCAAGGCCTGCCCCGCGGCGGCGAAGCACCTGGACGCCCTGGCGTCGGGCGAGTACGCGGGGCGCTGCCTCTTCCTCCTGGTGTGCGTCGACGGCGGTCTGGACGAGGCCCGCGAGTGGACGGCCTTGAACGGCATCACCTCCTGCACGGTCGCCGCCGCGGACGACGACGAGGATCTGATGGCGAGGCTCGGGGTGAAGGGCCTCCCGCACCAGGCGCTGATCGCCAGCGACGGCGTCGTGTTCAGGAACTACGACGTGCAGCTCCCAGCGGACCTCGACGCGCTGCTCGGGGGTGCAGCGTCAGAGCTGTCGGCCCCCAAACCTGCGAACTTCGCCGACGTGTCGGCTCGGTTCCGCGAGCTGCAGAAGGACGAGCCCATCCTCAAGGAGAACCCGAGTCGGTGGGTGATGTTCCCGATCCAGCACTCGGACATCTGGGAGATGTACAAGAAGCACGAGGCCTCGTTCTGGACTGCGGAGGAGATCGACCTCGCGCAGGACAACAAGGACTGGGACAACCTCACGGCGTCCGAGCAGCACTTCGTGAAGCACGTGCTAGCGTTCTTCGCCGCCTCCGACGGCATCGTCCTGGAGAACTTGGCGGCCCAGTTCACCAATGAGGTGCAGCTGCCGGAGGCCCGTGCCTTCTATGGCTTCCAGATGGCCATGGAGAACATCCATTCGGAGACGTACTCGCTGCTGATCGAGCAGTACATCCGGGACCCCGCCGAGAAGGAGAAGGTTTTCGACGCGATCCACACCATGCCGCCCATCAGGCAGAAGGCTGAGTGGGCAGTGCAGTGGATGAGCCCAGAGAAGACTAGCTTCGCCGAGCGCGTCATCGCCTTTGCGGCCGTGGAGGGAATTCTGTTCAGTGGCTCGTTCTGCGCCATCTACTGGCTCAAGAAGCGCGGCTTGATGCCGGGCCTCACCTTCTCCAACGAGCTGATCTCGCGCGACGAGGGCCTGCACACCGAGTTCGCGTGCCTCATCTACAGCAAGCTTGAGAACAAGCTCCCCGAGGAGGTGGTCCATGGCATCATCCGCGGCGCGGTGGAGACGGAGCGGCACTTCATCTGCGA